AATATATTTTTATATAAATATATAAATATATATAATTAAATATATATTTTTTTTTTTTTTTTTTTTTTTTAAGTAGGGATCTCAAACCCAAGATCTCAAACTGGTATGCGCACCATTCACTGGCCCTACATGAGCTCAGTGGTATGCAAAATAAAATCAATTATTCTTATTTTACAAGTTTCAGCTCATTCCATGTTATTCTGAAAAATCACAATGCTGCCTAATTTAAAAATAAGAAATTGGGTAAAACTACTAATATGTCCATGCATTTAGTGTTTATTTGTCATGACTGCACAAGAGATCTGTGTGTGTCGACTTTATACAAGCTACGCTATGTCTTTTATACATTTAGGCACAAGTACATTTGTATTAGATCATATTACCTGATCTACATAGCCATAGCTAAACAATGGATGATCTCTTATTGCCTAAAATGAGAAACAAAAGAACATTTTTAAACATTAAATGTTGCAAATGCTACAGAATCTAGTTTACTCATTTTCACTTTCTAAAGCACAATCAAATACTGTTTACTTACTGGTAACTTTAAGTTTGTATATGATTTTGGTTGTCCATCAGTCCAGTAAAACCCAAGCGTATATAAATTATGAAAACCAATCCACAGGTCTGTTGTCGGTGCATCAACCATTTGAGACATTAAAAACACTGAAAATTCAAAACAATAATTTCAGAATTATATATTTACAACAGGAATGAAACAATTATTCATGGTAATAGCGTTAAATTGCCCACTGTATTAAAACTTGGGTAAATACATATCCTTCAACAAAACTTGACAAACTTAAATCAGTTGTCAGGGTAAAAGTATACACATTTCTAAATTGTATTTGTTTTTTTATTTTATTCATAAGCATTCATCATATGCAAGGCCTGACATTCCAAAGAGCTGTAGCCCAGGGCCCTGAGGTTTAGAGGGACTGACACCAAACACTATTAATGTTTTATAAAGAATAGATGCTTTCCAAGCACCTTATTTTACCTATAAACAATGTGTTGTAAGTCCACATCACTGGACAGTTGTATCTTATTTAATGCCTACATTGATTAATGACAACGTGATGATTTTGGTGGGATTCTGTTTAATTTGCTTCAGAATCTTACTTTTTTTCAGTCTTAAAGTCAAAGGGGCCTACGGTAGCTCGATTGTCAATGGTGCAGTCTCATAATCCTGATCCTGCAGGTTTTAGCCCAAGTCCTTTAAGGAAAGGCATCCAGCATGAAACAACTGTCAAATATTTCAAGTGCGTTTGCTTGCTGTGGTTGACCCCTGCAGAAGGGAGCAGCACCATCCTTAATTCTACCAGGTTATATGAGTAAGTTTTTTTGTGTGTTTTGTTTTTGTTTCTTCATTAGCTTTGGCCTTGTTAACTGTCTATCTGTTTAATTCTAAGTGGATTTTAAAACAACCTTGGAGAAAGCGTATTCTGATGCATGCTCACTAATCGACGTAGATAAATCTAACTGGAAATAGTCGGGAAAACAAAGCCATTGTCCAAAAGGATGGCCCAGCACAGAAAAGCAACATCATCAGGCCAAGACTCTGTGGCCTTCATTCATCTGCAGGCCAGCGGTCACTCTTTCAGGGATGAAGATGTGCACATCCTTGATAGAGAGGAACACTGGTTCGAGAGAAACACTTTGTGAAGAGAACCCACTCATACTTAAATGGGTCGGATGTCTCCGTGTCCAACTGTCCCCTTCTTTATAATGCTGTTATTGCTAGTATCACTCAGCCCTCTGTGAATAGCAAGTGGCCTTCAGGGCACTAATGATCAGTCATTAGGCCTTCTTTTTGCTTGTGAACAACTAGTTATGGATGTTACCAGCAAACGGGTTAGTCCACTATGTGAAGGTGCTGCTTATAAGACTGAGTATGTTGCAGCTCCGCAGACTTGTCTTTTGAGTAAAAGGAACACAGAAGAACCCATCCAGAGGGCCTGACTCAACCTTGTTAGACTTGGAAAAAGAAGTTTACATGAGCAAACAAACCTTGCACATGTCTTGAAGAAATTGAGGCCAGGTTTCCACCCATGTCTCTACACTGCTGCCTTGCTTCGTGCCAGGTAAAATTTTGATCGCTTATGATCTTGTAACACTGGAGAGACAAAAGAATAATCAAATTTACAGGTACAAATTATGAAACTATTACAAATACCCATCTCCTTTCACTTCAGAATAAAGTCCTACATTGCAGAGGAAGGGTTATTAATCTGTACATTGAAAGTTATGAGATTCAACCTGCAAGATCATACTTTACATGTTATCAAGCTAGCCCATAGGTGAACATACATTAATAAAATCTTAAACACAATAATGTAATGGAGCAGCTAATGCATTTTTACTTAATGAAACCTTGCAACCTCCCCTCCAGTACCTCAACAGAAGCTTTTTTTAAGTCAAAATAAAAGTTGTGTTCTGAAAACAGGGATTTTAGGACAATGGATGGCCCAAAATTTTAACGTTGATCTCCCCAGTAACTGAATTTGAAACCCCTGCTCTAATACATTGATATTTACAACTATAGTACAGTATACTATATTAGAGGCACAAAAAATATGATTCTGCCCTAAAGTCAAGTTCACTCATCCCTTCAGCCCCACAATCTCACCTTAAAGTTCAGTTTTTTCCAGGTGTCTTTGCAACCACCTTTAACTGGCATGGGTGCCACAGTGGTATTGACAGGTGGTGAGTGGCTGCGCTTACAAATAGATGAAAATTCAGTTCCACAGTTATTATCATGCCATAGCCCTGTAAACGGTGAAAAGAAAAAAGTAATACTACATGTCATATTCAAACCTACTTAATGTGTATTTTAAATTAACTGAACAGTAGGATTAAGATTGATTTGCTTACAACTAATTATTTGACCTAAATAAATCAAATCATTTTTGGCACGTTTAATGGCCACCGTTTTTCACTCATTTCAAAAGAGCAAAACCATAGGTCTTGTTTTCAATCAATTTAATAACACTTAAACACTGAACATTAATATTCTGCTAATTAAATATTTCTTGCTAGTTGATGCTCCAATTTTATTTTTTATGCTTAAAATGCAAGAAAGGAATGGAACTATGTATTTATTAAATTACCAATAGTTTAAGTAGCAGCCACCACACAAAACTTGTGAACCATAAAATCATATCAAGGTTTTTTGATTGCACTGCAGACAGATATTTTTTCTTCATCTGTATTTCTTGCACAGTCCGTTTATGAACCAATGAAAAATTGTTGTTACCATGGTAACAACAGTGGTTAAGATCAGTAAAATCAAGGAGCTTTGTCTGGGAAGTAGATTGGGAGCAGCCAGCGCCAGACCTATCTTCAGGTATTCTGTTATACAAGGGCAGGAAGTGGAACTGGCAACTGAATGTAAATACCTCAGAACAATAACTGACAACAAGTTGACCTTTCAGATCAACAATGACCGTATTGACCAAAAAGTCAGACAGCATCTGCACTTTCTATGTAAGCTAAGGAGCTTTAACACAAACAAGCACACGTTGCAATTGGTTTGCAGGTCACTGGTTAAAAGTGTTGTTTCCTTTAATATTGTCTCTAGGTATGGGAACCTCCTTGCAGGAACAAGTTGTCCCAGGTGGTCAAACTAGGTAGTAAAATAATTGGTCATCAACAAATGCAACTTACAGATTTGTACAGTCAAGTTCTGTTAAAAAGGCAATACAGGTTCACAATGACCCAGCTCATCCACTGTGACCGTTGTTCAAGCTCCTGCCATCTGACAGAAGACTGATGGTTCCTCTAACAAAGAAACATGAGTACAAAAAGTCATTTGTTCCCTCTGCTGTGACCATTCTTTGTAGGGTCCAATTTAAGTGTCATCGACAATCCATTTTCTGCTGAGGCATTTTTATTTTTAATGCATCATGTATTTTAGAATGTTTTAATTGTGTTAGCAAAGCTTTTTAAAGGGTTTTATGGATTTTTTTAAACTTGTTTTGTTGTGTATGTATGAGCCAGATGTCAAAGAAAAGTCTCTATTTCATGGAATGTTATGGACAATAAATTGAATTCTAATCACATGATTTCAGAAACTAAATAGCATTATTTAAGGATGATACATGTATTGTTTCGTTTTACTTATCATTTTTATCTCTGTCATTGAAGCTGAATGTTACTCACCAGTATGAGACATCATGGAAACACAGTTCTCGTCAAAATTTTTGAAATCAGGCTGCCCTTCTTCCCACATTTGAAATAACACTGGAGAACCATCCACCCATCTTAATGCAATACAAGCAAAAATGTAAAATGAAAAAGTCAAACACCTCACAAAACAATTATAACAAAAACATTGACAAACTGATTTGATTCTAAATGTAAAACATTGATGGTGTAGCAGTAAAAAAAGACTGAAAAAAAGACTTGAAACCAGGTGAAATCACCTTTTCCCACTTCTTTGTATTTACACTTACTGAAATGTTTTGTCAAGATCTACAGTCATACCAATCCAAACACGGTGAATTCTGTATACCTACACACAAACAAAGTTTTTTTTTTGTTAACTGGTGAGGAGATGCAGAAAAGAACAGAAAGCCCAGAAACAAAATTCAAATCAGTTTATTTATAAACATCCAATTCATAGACAAAAGTCATTTTAGGAAGCTTCAGAAAAATGCAAATAGGTTAAAAAATAATGCACTTTATTCACAAAATCTAATTATTTATATTCAATAAATCCAATGGCACTGAAAACAGGTTCCGATTCTAATCAATTTACTTACAGTACAATTTATTACAATCTATTTTAATCAAATTATAATTGAATTTGATGAAAATGAAAGCTGGGGCAGCACCGTTGTGCAACTGGTAGAGCTGCTGCCTCTCAGTGAACAGGTTACCCTGGTTCAAATCCCGGTCAGAGGACCTTTTTGGGTGGAGTTTGCATGTTCTCTTTGTGCATGCGTGGGTTTTCTCCGGGTACTCTAGTTTCCTCCCACAGACCAAAAACATGCATGCTAGGCTGATTGTTAACTCTAAATAATTTCTAGGTGTGAGAGAGTGAATGGATGTCTGTCTCGTTTGTTTATGTGGTCCTGTGATGGACTTGCGACCAGTCCAGGGTGTACCCCGCCCCTTGCACAGTGATTGCTGGACATGGGCACCGGCAACCCCCGTGACCCAAAATGGACAAAGCGAGTAAAATATAATGGATGGATGGAAAATGGAAGCCATTAAACAGCAGTTGAAAGACTGACACTGAATTGTAGTAAAACAAAGGCAAATAGACATGGCTTTTTTATTTGACTACTTTGGCACATGTGCTGCTTCATTCTTCTTCTTCTTTCAGCTTTTCCCTTTCCAGGGGTCTCCACAGTGAATCATCTTCCTCCATCTCACTCTGTCCTCACTCCAACTACCTCTATGTCCTCTCTAACTGCATCCATATCTTTTTGGTCCTTCTCTTTGTCTTTTTCTTGGCAGCTGCATTTCTAACATCCTTCTACCAATATACCCACTGGCCCTCCTCTGGACATGTCCAAACCATCTCAGTCTGGCCTTTCTAACTTTATCTCCCAGTTGTTCAACCTGTGCTGTATCTCTGATGATCTCATCCCTAATCTTATCCATCCTTGTCACTCCTAAGGAGAACCTCAACATCTTAATTTCTGCCACTTCCAGTTCTTTCTCGTCTTTTTGTCAATGCCACTGTTTCCAGACCATACAATGTAGCTGGTCTCACCACTGTCTTGTAAAATTTTCCTTTGACCTTTGCTGACACCCATTTGTCACAAATCCCTCCTGAAACTTTTCTCCATCCACTCCATCCTGCCTGGACTCTCTTTTTCACCTCTTTATCACACTCCCCATTTTCCTGGACAGTGGACCCCAAGTACTTGAAGTCTTGCACCTTTGTGGCCACTGCTTCTTGTAGCTTCACTGTTCCACCAGCCTCCCTCTACACACGTGTATTACATCTTATTACGGCTAACTTTCATTCCTCTTATTTCAAGTGCATACCTCCACCTCTCCAAATTCTCTTCCACCTGGCTGTTCTCACCACAGTTCAAAATGTCATCTGTAAACATCATAGTCCACGGGGATTCCTGCCTGACCTCATCTGTTAGTTGGTCCATCATCAGAGCAAACAAGAAGGGACTCAGAGCCAATCCTTGATGCAATCCTACTTCCACCTTGAAGCTATCTGTCACTCCTACAGCACATCTCACCACTGTTCTGCTGTTCTCATACATGTTCATACCAGTCTAACACACTTCTTTGCCACTCCAGATTTCCTCATGCAATACAGCTTTCTCCCTTGGAATCCTGTCATATGCTTTGTCTAAATCCACACAGACACAATGGAGTTCTTTCTGACACACTCTGTACTTCTCCATCAGCATCATCAAAGCAAAGTTAGCATCTGTGGTGCTCTTTCTTGGCATGAAACCATACTGCTGCTCACAAATAGTCACCTCTCGTCTAAGTCTAATTTCCACAATTCTCTCTCAGATCTTCATTTTATGTGTGACTCATAAACTTAATTCTCTTGGAGTTGCTACAACTCTGTACATCATCCTTGTACTTAAAAATGGGCACCAGCACACTTCTTCTCCATTCCTCAGGCATTTTCTCACCCTCAAATACGCCATTGAATATTTTAGTCAAAAACTTCTCTCCAATATATTTCCAAACTTCCACTGGTATGTCATCAGGTCCTACTGCCTTCTCCTTCGTCATTCTTTTGAGAGCTTTCCGGACTTCACCTTCACTGCTCTTTCCCACTTCCTGGTTCACAGTTTCAATGATCTCTACTCTTCTTTCTCTTTCATTCTCTTCATTCATTAGCTCCTCAAAGTAAACCTTCCATCTTACCATCACACTTTCCTCACTTGTTAGAACATTACCTTTCCTATCTTGAACAAGCCTAATCTGCTGCACATCCTCTCCAGCCTGATCCCTCTGTCTTGCCAATCCATGCAAGTCCTTTTCACCCATTTTAGTGTCCAGTCTCCCATACAACTCATCATCAGAATCAGCTTTATTGTCATTGCACAGTTTAGCGCAGCAAAGATAAATTTCAGTGCAGATTTCCAACAAGTGCATGGGGGCTGTAGCTTTGTTGTGAAGTGCTGCCCTTATCACTTAGATAAAAAAAGGGAAGAAAAACATGAAGAAAAATTTAATTTAAAAAAAGATCTCTTACACTGTGTCCTTGACACACAGGTCACAGTGTAAGGTAGCAAAAAACTATCTGATAAAGGAGCAGTTTGAGATAAGTTAACCTATCCAAGGCCAGCGGGGAAGGCAGTTTCAGACAAACAACAATTGTTTTGGGACAGGCTGACTACTGATTTCACGTCTGCCTTCATAGTTTCTGCTGGTATACTGAATGCTGAATCCAAACAGCCAGATCTGTGGTCATTCCACTGGTCCGTGCTTGTAGCCTTCTCCAAGTTAGAGCTGTCATTTCTAACCCAAACCCGGAGCCCGGCCCTGCCCAACCAAGATTCGGACCGGGCCGGGCCATAATAATGTGCTTAATCTGTGGGCTGGGTCTGTGTTGGGCTTTTATTGTGTCAGGGGTGCGCATGGCCGACGATCCAATTATGTGCCAACATGGCTTGCCATACAGTCACCAGCCACATGCGGCCATTTGACCACGCGCTGACCGGCTGGTTGCAAGAGGTAAAAAGTTCAGTTAAGCTTCAGATGGACTACAGCCAGCAATCCATCAGTCCAAATGGACATTCATTCAGCTGCAGCGCTCAGCGGACGCATGCAGCCGATGACCCAAACAGGTGAGATCACAAAATATCTGACATATCAGAGCAGGGTCCAATGCAGGCAGAAGTAGGGGAAGCATTTAATGCACTTTGATGGCTCCTCAGCTCCAATCTTCTGCCCCCTTTACTCAGCCGTGCACATCCACCAATCTTTAATAATAGTCGTGGTATAAGCAGTCAAAGATTAAATAAAAATGTTGGAAGTTTTTTCGGGTTCAGACATGTAATTACTGTTAATTTGTCAGATTGGGTGGGATTCAGCGATGATGGCCATGGGCTGGGGCCGGGTCAGGTTGGATTTTTTGGACCCCGAGTGCAACTCTACTCCAAGATGGATTCCTTCATGCCAGCGAGTTCTAGGAGCCACAAGTGGCCTGTAATTCTCAGAAATCGCATCCATCTTACAGTTTAGCTTGCAAAGCATCTGATTCTGAGCACTCGAAGCACAGTGCAATCCTTCACATAAGGCAGGCAGCTTCACCATTGCCAAAACTGCTGCCGACGACTTCCTAGTTTGTCGATATCCCAGGTACCCACCAATTCCAAAAAGCAGAAACCCTGTTATGATAAATCCATTTATGTACGTGTCTTTAATGTCCTCAACAGACAATACAGACAGGCACATAATCTCCCATTCACCCCAAATAATCCATGATATATCCAGTTGAGTGTCCCTTCAGGGTAAGAGGGTTCTTCTGAACCCTGTAGTCTCATCAAGAAGATTTTATCAGTTGTGTTAAGAGACCAGCTGACCAGATCCATAATAATTTATGATTCAGAAGATGTGTAAAGAGAGGCTCTGAGACCGATTCACAGGACAAGAGCAAAAGCAGGAGGGAGGCAGGAGAGGGAAAGCAAGCGTCCATCTTTGTCAAGAGCAAGTCAGAAAAAAAAGCCTTCTGTTTTGCCTTTGCCACATCCCTCTTTGTTCTACATTGCATCTCGTTAAATACCTGTCTCCTCGCTTCAGTCCTCTCACTGTCATTTTTGTTTCTTGGCTAACCTCTTTCTTTGAATAGTTTCTTGCACGTCACTATTCCACCACCAGGTTTCCTTATCATCCATTCTCTGTCCAGATAACACACCAAGTACCTTCCTACCTGTCTCTCTAATTACTGTTGCTGTAGTAGCCCAGTCATCTGGAAGCACTTTCGTACCACCCAGAACAGTTAACAGCTCCGCTCTGAAATTCTCAAAACATTCTTCCTTCTTCAGCTTTCACTATTTGGTCTTCTTCAATGATTTTACTCTTTTTCTCTTCTTCACAACAACAGTCATTCTAGACACAACCATCTGATGTTTTTTGGCACGTTCACCCCGTCACAACCTTACGGCCTCCAATCTCCCTTAAGTTTCCCCTTCTACACAGAATGTAGTCTACCTGTGTACGCCTTCATCCACACTTATAAGTCACTCTGTGTTTCTCCCTCTTTTGGACATGAGTGTTGACAACAGCCATTTCCATTCTCTTAACAAAATGCACCACCATCTGTCCTTCCTGGTTTCGTTCTTTGACACCAAACCTACATATCACTTTCTTATCCTCTCTGTTTCCTTCACCAACATGTCCATTCAGGTCTACTCCGATCACCACTTTCTCTTCCCTGAGAATACTCTCTACCACTTCATCCAGATCCTTCCAAAATGTATCTTTCTCCTCTCCATCACATCCAACTTGTGTAGCATAACCACTGACAACATTTAGCATTCTACCTTCAGGCACGTCCCCCTATCTGACGCTCTTTTTACCTCTACTACATTCTTTGCCAACCCCTCCTTCAGGACCACCTCTACTATATTTTTCTTTCTATCCAAACCATGTTAAACCAGTTTAAACTCTACTCCAGGCCTTGCTGCCCTTCTACTTGGTCTCTTGGACACATAAATCATCTACCTTCCTCTCTGCATCATGTCAGCCAGCTCTCTACCTTTGCCTGTCTATAGCTATGTTTACATGCGCAAAATTCTTTGACCGGATTGAAATGTTTTCAGATTAAATAATTCAAATGTGTCTTTTACATGAGCACAATCTGTTCATGATGAGTGTTTACATGTAGCAGGCTTTGTTCTGAACAGAAGTACTTACATGCGCAGAGTGGTAAACTCTCCTTAAAAAAAAAAAAAACACAGAAAAAGAAGTTCTACTTCCAGTTTACTTCCGGGATGAACGTAAACAAACCTGAGCACCCAAAATGGACCCACGACAGCTTTTAATGATGGTGGAGATGTTACTGCACTCCCTGACTGAGCTACAGGTAATATAGATCATTCTGAGCTCTTTTAAAATTTCTAGGAGAAATGTTGTGTCGCTCACCGACCAGTTTTGCTTCCCTGACATGCTAATATTATTATTATTTTTTCCTGCTATTCTACGGTGAAACCAGACGTGTTTTCAAAATTCAAACTAAGATCATCTTATCCTAAAAAAATAAAAAGTTTTAGCCTTTTGGGTCAAATCTTAAAAACAACTGTATGTGCAAAGGACATGCAACATTGCAATGTCTATTGGTCCTCAAAGCTTGTGTTGGAGATGATGCTTAGCTACTAGCACACCCAATTTTATTTCATACATTACATTTGATAACTAAGGTTATTAGAAAAATCTAAGCAAATATGTTCTTGTTCTTAGTATTTTACCTTGTTTTATATGGCACCTTGATTTGATTGTTTTTAAGACTCTACTTTTATTTTAATTACTTTTTAGTGTTGTATATTGTCTGTACTATCTTGTCTGTCTAAAACAGGTCTCTCTTGAAAATGAGTCTTTATGACTCAATGAGACTATCTTTAAAAATAATAATAATAATAATTCAACAAATGTAAAATGGAATGAATTATAGTCCACGATTTATTCCAGTTATTACTTTCTGTGAGATTTCATCAGAATTTTATCCAGTTTTTGTCCACTGGTTTATGAGATATTAAGCTAAAAGACAGATGAACAAACACATACAGGTACACATAGATATATGCATGTACATTATTGCCTACCTTTTATGTGTGAGCTATAATTTTTTTTTTTTTTTTAAAGAACAGGTAGAAAAAAGGCTCTACACAAACTTGTTTATTTTTAAAATTTTTTGTATCGTAACAAAAACATCCATCAATCCATCCATTTTACTCCACAGCATCCTTTTTGGGACCCGGGGGTCACTGTTTCTCATATCCAGCAGTCACTGTGTGAGAGGCGGGGGCCACCCTGGGCAGGTTGCAAGCCCATCACAGGGACATAGAGACAAACGAGATAAACAACCATTCACTCTCTCACTCACACCTACGGGCAATTTAGAGTTACCTATCAGCCTAACATGAATGTTTTTGATCTTGGGAGGAAAATGGAGTCCCCTGAAAAAAACCACACACGTACAAAGAGAACATGCAAACTTCACCCAGAAAGGTCCTCGATTTGATCTGGCAACCTTCTCGCTGAGAGGTAACGGCTGTACCAACTGAGCCACTGTGCCACCTTAACATCAAACAGCTATTGAAAACTGAACTATGTACTTCAGTTCATAGTAGTAAAACATTAGTTACTTCTACTACACTCCTAAAATATTTTAAAAAACTATTTATGATATTTGGTGTATAAAATCAGCAATATGCTGTATACAAAAAGTGTTTTATTTATTGGCAGTTTTTTGACATTCTTGCAGAGTTTGATTTTCGTAGTTACTTTAAATCATATACTGCTTTAACAAGTTTAAGTCAGGTCCTTTGGACTGATTCTTCTTTGTTGAAACATTTCGTCTTTTTTTTTTTTTTTTTGATAAAAGAAGAAACATTTCAACAACAAAAAAATAAAAATCCGTCCAGAGGACCTGTCTTAACCTTGTTAGATTTATCTACCTGGATTATTAAGAATGCCTCAGGAAATATATTGCTTAGTTTTTTAATGAAACATTAATTTCAGTGCTCACCTGTTTCCATAAAAAGCTCCATTCAGCTTCGCTGTCGATGATCACCAAGTCAGCATGCCTCTGTTTGCAGAATTGCCGAGCATCTTCCATGGCCATTTTTTGCTTATTCATAAAATATTGATTCCCTTTCCATTCCAGCCACCCATCTGAAGTGATGTTATAATCTGTAAATTTGGGTATAGATGGCACATGTTAATATGAGTAATTATGCTAGATTTGTTGTTTTTAAGACATTCAGTTGTAAGTTTTTGTTATTGGATTGCCATAGCTACAAACTTCTCTCATAGTCCTTGATTCCAGCTCTTTACACCTGTTTTATCTGTCACCACACCTGCTTTCACTCAGTAATCACTGTCCCAGTATTGCCTGGTTGTTTTCAGTTCTCCATGAGATTGTACTGATAGTTTCAGTTTATTCCTGCTGCCTGGGATTTCTGCATCTGTAATTAAAACTCAAATTTTGATTTAGGCACACTAAAGCCCAAGGCTCAAGACACCAGTATAATCACATCATCTGCATAAAGCAGAGCCAAAACCCTGAAGTTTCCAGACCAAACACCGTCCTCTCCACAACTGCACCCTAAAGTCCTGTCCGTGAACACGACAACAGTATTGGAGACAAGGGACAGCCCTAGCAGAGTCCTAACCACACTGAGAATGTGATTTTGTGTACTTTGTCCCAAGAATGCTGACACATCTCCTGATTTGGTAATGCATTGTTCGGATAGCCTGTAAAAGCAACCCTAGCATCCCATAATCCCACAGCACCCCCTACAGAATGCCTTAGGAAACACAATCATAAGCCTTCTCCAAGTTCACAAAACACATGTACACTGGGGAGTCAGACTCCCCTAGCACCCCTAGCAGCTCCGCAGAGGTGAAGATTTGGTCCACTGTTCCATGAACAGGATGAAAGCCACATTACTCCTTCTGAATACAAGATTCAGTAATTCATCTGAGCCTCCCTTCCAACATCCTGGAGTAAACATTACCAGGGAGGCGAAGAGGCTTGATTTTATGATAGCTGGAACACACTCTTCGGCCCTCCATTTTAAAAATGGGAACCACCACCCGGGCTGCCACTGGACTGGCATTGTCCCATATGTTTATGCATAGTGAAGAGGCCTGTCAACCATGATAGCCCCACAACAGCCAGAGCCTTCAGCATCATATGGTGAATCTTGTCCAACCCTGGCACCCTGCCACCAGGGTGCTTTTGATCTCTGCTATGTTAATGGACTTGTCTGCCCCAGTGACCTCAGACTCTGTCTCCTCAAAGGTGGACATGGTGGATGAGTTAAGAACATCCTCCTTTCACCACCCAACAATATCTCCAGTTTTTGTCAGCAGTTTCCTACCCAAATATATACAGTGCCAAGTACACTTATGGACCACCCTATGCTCTAACATGGCGTTGGTTATGGAAAGCCTATGCCTAGTATGGAGGTCTAAGAACAATACACCAGATTGGTTCGAATCAGGGGGACCGTTCTGCCTAATCACCCCTTTCCAAATAATTCTGTCATTGCCCACATGGTAGATTAACTAAAACTAGCTTAAAAAAAAACTGAGTTGAATTTTAAGCATGAATTATTACCTAAATGGCAACTAGTAATAGTGATAGTTTAAGGTTCAAATCCAACTTTGTTCACACAAGATTTTTTTTTTTTTAAACATGACCTTTTTCATATACTGTATACTCTACTATGCTTGCAGAGTTTATCTAAAAACTATGCTTAATATATCAGTTCAGTACATTTGCCCCTATGTTAAAATACTCTATGTAGCTATATGCTCATACAATATGCACTCACCTGGAGTGGCAGGGGGTGGAGATGGCTTTAGAGAGACACCTGGGAAGGAAGCATTAACAGTGTTTGATTTATAATGCTGTACTACAGTAACTATTTATTGTTTTGTTGGTGAGCACCAGAAAAAGTAGATAATATTGTTAAAAAAGTTATCATGACTTTAACAAGCAATTCACTAATATAACCATATTTTACCTGTAGAGATCTGACAAATCCAGCTATTTTGTTTTTCACAATGATTATCATTCCATGAACCATCCTTATGCCAGTCAAGAGCAAAAAATTCAACACAGTCTTCTACATTGTTTTTATTGTTTGGCTCTCCATCATGCCAGTGTTTAAAGTTGACCTAATAATGAAAGCAAAATAAAACATACAATGATGAATACATTTCTTTAACTTTGAGCTCCAGGAACTACAAAGTACATGGTGATTTGGCATACAAATATTAAGAGAGAAAAATGTAAACTCACTGGTGACCCATCACTCCACACAAAGCCGGCTCCTCGGTCAGGCACATGAAGTCCAATCCAATATTTTCCAGAGCTAAAAGGGATATATACAGTGCATGCTGTAAATTTTAAAAGCATGAATAAATTAAGGTTAATGCATATACACATACACATACATATATACAGACATAAACATATACATACCACGCAAGTTTTTTTGAAAGCATTTTAACAACATTTGGAACAAAGTACTGTACAGTTACAGTCAATAAAACCAACAGCAGTCATAAATCAAAATGAAAACAATTTAAAGCAAGCACAAAACAGAAATATTAAAAACTAATATATAAACAATTGATTAAAATCAATAAAAATAAAATGTGTTAAATACATTAAAATTAGACAAAAAATCTACATATCAGCTTGCTCAAAGTCAAGAAGAAAAGATAGGTTTTAGGAAATAATTTCAAAACGTACAGAAAGGATGCTTGTCTGATGCTCAAAAGTAGGTCATTCGACATTTTAGGAGTAACAGCAAAACAAGCAAACACACACACACACATACATACATATACATATACATATAAAATATATATATATATATATATATATATATATATATATATAGGTAGAGTGCCCTCTCCGGGTCAGGGAGGAGGTCCTACACTCATCTATGGTCATGAGATTTGGGTTGTGACCGAAAGAACGAGATCACAGATACAAGCGGCCAAAATGAGTTTTCTCCGCAGGGTGTCTGGGCTCTCCCTTAGAGATAGGGTGAGAAGCTCGGTCATCCGGGAGGGACTCAGAGTAGAGCCGCTTCTTCTCCAAATCGAAAGGAGCCAGGTGAGGTGGCTCAGGCATCTGTTTAGGATGCCTTCTGGACGCCTCCCTGGTGAGGTGTTCCGGGCACGTCCCACCGAGAGGAGACCCAGAGGAAGACCCAGGACACGCTGGAGGGACTATGTTTCTCGGCTGGCCTGGGAACACATTGGAATTCCCCTGGAGGAGTTGGCCCAAGTGGCTGGGGAGAGGCAAGTCTGAGCCTCCCTACTTAAGCTGCTACCAACGCGACCCGACCCCTAATAAGCGGAAGAGAATGGATGGATATATATATATATAT